TACCGTTCCTCAAAAATCTCTGCCAGCTGGCCCCCAATTTCCAAAGAAATCTCTGCAAGCTTGAGCTTCAGTTTCTTAAAGAATCCTTGGTAGCTTTCCCTCTATTTTTTCAAGAATATTTGCTAGTGTACCTCAATTCCTCAAAAATCTCTGCTTGCTTGCTTCATCCTCAAATCTCTGCTAATTTGCCCAGTATGTGCCTAGTTTGCTAGTTGCTTCTTAAAAATCCTCCAGCTCTTTATAAATCAGGGAATTTCCTCAATGAACTCTGCTAGTTTTACGCGCTTTTTCCCAAATGATCTCTGCCAGCTTGCCTCACCTAATTTTCAAACCCAGACACCCACTCCCCCTTCCCTTTCCAAGCCATGCTTCCGGTGGTTGTTTGAAGAGTCACGAAATGGGTGCCCCCAGGGCTAGAAGAGAGAGAGAGCGAGAGAGAGAGAGAGGGAGAGAGAGAGAGGGAGAGAGAGGGAGAGAGAGAGAGGGCGAAGGGCCCGAAATCGATGTCCTCCCCCGCTCTTCCTCTCGCCTTCTTCTTCTGCTCCCTGGCCACCAGTCCGAATTCTTAGGGCCCAACCTCGGTCCCGAATTTCATAACTTTATCTGATTTATGCAAATTTTGAGATTTTCTAAAATATCTTTTCAATAAAATAAGCCATTTTTAAAATCATTTCAAATACCATTTTTTAACGGGTTTTTGTGTTTTGTCCTTGGTCACCGGACTTGGTTGACCCTTAGGGCCCAATTTCATAACGCCACCATATTTATGCTAGTTTTCTAGAAATGACTCAAAATAAAAATTTTGACGATAGGCGCTCTCACCTCAAAATTAAAACTGTTGGAACATTTTTGAAGCTAAAATGTTTTGAAACACATAATTTTTGGAATCTATTATGTTTTCAATTACTCTCCCCCGGTTTTTCTTACAATATTCCATTCAAATGTTTCAGATCATTTGCAAGATTATTTCCTCATTTATTGCAATTAATCTAATGTCAGATCTTTTTTGATATTTTGGCTTTGCTTTTTGCACGCTTGCTTGCTTTGCTTTTTGGTTCAGCCTAAGCTACTTATCAAACGCCGACTTTGTAGGGTCGAATAAGCAAAAAGCAATGCACAAAGTTTCCGGTAAGAAAAATTGCATCCGAAAAAGTGTTTCACCGAGGGCCAAAGGTAGGGAGGTAGTTAAAATTTTAATAGGACCTATTGCAACCTCGTTTGAATATGACTTTTTTTCTTCGATCTTTTATAACAACTGCAAAAAAAGACAATACAGGAAAATCATGCTAAAAATGATGTTCTTTGTCCCCGAATGCCTATCCCGTTTTTTTCTGCCCCGCTTTCTTCTGTCGACTTAAAAAAAACACAGTTTCCCTTGTTCTCTGGCTCTCTCTTCTCTCTCTCTCTCGCTCTCTCTCACTCTCTCTCTCTCCCGCTCTCTCTTTCTCCCGCTCTCTCCCCTGTCAGCTGTCAGCCAGGGCTCAATTTTCAACCAGCACCTCCGCGAATTCGACCTTGCCCTCCACAATGGATTCTTTTTGGTCATGTAAAATTTATTCAATTTACGATTTCATGTCCATTTGGCTTCCTCTCAATCACCCAAAAATTTAAAAGATATCTTGTCATTTTCAGATTTTTAATTGTTACAAATTTTCGCTAATTTTTCCGTTTGATGTGACGTTCTAGAAGTGCAATTGGTCGTATTTTTGAATTTTCGTCAACATTTTTTCAGAAAGAATGGTGCGCCATTTTTGCGTGCAATATAAAAGTTTCAGACTTTGACAAACCTTAGCCGATAATTGGAGGCAGTGATATTTAGCTTTCCTTCCTTTCGTCTTGTTCCCCGGTGTATTTTTTCCTTCTTCTTCAACCTTCAATTTGTCATATTTTTGCCATTAAAAAACCATGAAATTACTATCGCGGCTTATGCGTCGCTTTCAAAATCAGCGGGTTCCGGTTAAACCTTGTTGTTTCAAAAAATTTAAAATGGCAAAAATGTTCTCCGTTGAGTAATTAGCGGAGTAACAATATGACCCAACTGTTCTTCCATCTTAATGTACGTTTTTGACGTTGCTGTTGACGGAGAGTTATATTTCGGAATTTCTAGGATTTCTATTTCAAGCCCGAGAAAATTAACGGATTCAGGTTTAGAATCGCTATATTAAAAAAAACCAGGTGCATTTTCGAACTAAAGTTTCAAGTTTCATGATATTTTAAGTGAAAATTTTTTGATGCCGTAATCTGTCCGATGCATCGATTACCTATTTTTCCGTAGATCGGTGGAACTTGAATCTTACGTGGATTAAGAATCGTGAAATTTGTGATTTTTTATATACAGCCTGTCATACCAGGAGAATTAATGTTTCGAATATTTTAAAAAGCAAGCGTGAATCGTTGGGCATAGTGGTTCATCAGGGTCTTTTCTTAAATGCATTTTTAAAATCCATCAATAATTAGAATTAATTTATTTTGAAGCTTTCGTTCTCGCCTATTTTTTGGCGTTCAAAAGGTTATTTATTAAAACAGTATTCCGTTAATTAAATGCCATTAAAAAGCATTAGTCCTCTGCCCCCATTATTTTTTGTTTCGATTTGTCGAGTGCAGGTGGGGGGCAGGGGGGATGGTGGGGGGCAAAATGAGGCGGAAACGGCCGGTCCTCTGCCCTCCTGGTCGAGCACTCAATTTCTTTTTTCCTTTTTTGCCCCTTCCCCCTTTTCCCCCACCTCCAAAAAGACCAATACCTATCCAGCCCACTTGACAAAAGGCTACTTTTTGCGGCATATTCTGTAGGTTTGTTCGACTTGAAATGTGGTTGTAATTGTTCTGATTTCCGCATTTTTTAATTAGTAAATATCGTGAAACATAGTTTTGAAAAATGGCGGTGTCATGATTAGTAATATACTCTTTGCGGAATATTTTTCAATGGTCCGGCCGCGAACCAAACTAGATTTGCTCCCGATTTCTACGCGCTGAAACTTCTTGAAACATTTTTATCAGGAACTATTGGTCCTGCTATTTTAATTTTCGTTTGGCTTTTTGCATTGCGTATTTTGCAATTAAAATTATTTTTCGTTAATTTTGGGACAAAAAAGTTTGCAATATACATGTAGGTGTTTTAATTTAACATTTCTTGTTTCCTTTTTACCCTCCTTTTGAAACATACAGAGTATTTTTTTACACGGTCGAAGGCCAACTCTACTAAATTTTTCCCCCACTTCCGCACTATTACACTTCCTGAAACCGTAAAAAATTGGCGTAACAAATTGGTCATTTTACTCCATTTAGTGGCCACCAGGTTTTTGAAACACGTTCCCTTAATTGGCTTCGTTTTCTTTCTTTTCCTTTTACCCGATTCCCTTCCCCCATTGCCGCTGGACCTGACTCGCCAAAAACTAGTTAGTCCGTATATCTTGGAAGAGCCTCAATCTACATCATCAAATTTATCATTATTTTTCTGCGCTATTACACGCCTCTAAACACGTTTTTCTCGCTGGCGGAATGATAATCAGATGTTTTTTTCTATAAATACCATAAGTTTTTTGAAACACGTTTTACTTCAGTAGCTGCGTTTTCTTTTTTCTTCCATGCCCAACTACTATCGGCCGGACCGGGCAAAATCCAACTTTTTGCGGTTTCTCCTCCTGCCCCTCCTTGCTGCTGCTCCTTAAAAAAGCAATACTTTCGGAATTCCCAAGCGCCGACAGGCTGATTCACACCCAAATACAGCAGCGCACCCGGGACTACCCTTTTCTCTCCGGAATTTCTAGCCAAAGCAAAACGGTTGCAACCTATTTTAGGTGATTTCTTGTATTTATTGATTACCCTTTAAGCCTTTAAAGCAAAAGAAAAATATCGCTGAAAGTCAGGACCGTTCTTAGTGAGCTCCGCGGAGAAACACTGTAAAAATGTTTCAACTACATGCATTGTCACCAAAGGACTGAATTCGCCAATTCTCTCCGTTCCTTGTACAATTTTTATAAGGAGTTTTTTTTTTGGGAATAACCGGAAACTACATTTTAATCGGTTTTATCACTCCAAAAATCTAAGTTTTTCAACCCTGGTTCCCTTTGAAAAGATATTGTTTGGAAATAGCGCTTTCAGATGCAAAATTCATTAGCGCTCGGATTCAGACGTTAGATTAAAGGTTTCAAAAAATTCCGGTGCCGCGCCGTACATGGGTTTGGTAATTATTTATTCTAGTATGTATTAAGCAACCAACAATTGTTGTGAGCAAATGCATGTTTTGCTTCTAAAATTACCATTAGTGTGTTATCATCGCAGTAATAAAAATCCAAAGATCACCCCGACCTTTAATTAAGTTGAAACACGATCTTTTCCTGGAAAAACCACGCCCGTGAATAATTTTTTATCCCGTTGGCTCCAATCTCTAAAAATTTATATAGTTTAGTTTTTATAGATTTAACTAAGCCTACTTAATTTTCATCTAAAGATTTATACAGACTATGCAACATTGGTCAAAATCCCCCCCCCCCGCGCTGCTTATCAATGCCCTTCGGGGGACTGTGACTGACCGGCCACGGGACAGCTGAACCAGATTAAGCCAATTATTTAGCGCTCTCTAAATTGCTAATTAACATTTAGGTTGATTAATGAAATATTCTTCACTACAAAATACCATAAATTGGAATAAAATTGATAATGATAATAAGAAGCGTCGAATTCAGGGTTCCAGCGTGATATTGAAATTTAATGTTTCAACAAAGCGATGAGTTTTGCTCGGCGGAATTCGTTAATGATGGGTGTTTCGTGGTTTTTCCATTTCTGTGTGAAAATAAGCAAAAATTGCGAAAATGTGATATATATGTATCATGGTGTACCAACATTTTCATAAAACATTTACTTTTTTTGGTTGCTCCTATTTTCTTTTTCCTGCTTTAGATCCGTATGTGTTTTTATTTGATTATCGTTTAGGATTTATCTTGTTAATTTTCTCCAAGTGAAAATCGGATTCAATTAAAAACTACACCGTATTTTCAGGGATGCTCACCTCAAATGACGTGCCAATTTTGTTACAACGATTACACATTCAAAATGGTATTTTTTGAAACATTTTTGTCCAAAGATGGTGTTTTAAATAAGAAGTCAAATCCTTTATATATAATAGCGAACGAATACGCAAAAATTGCCTCCAAAAGCATTAGAATCGCAAATTTCTACCGTGGTCCATTTGCAGGCTATCGGCCGATGAACCAGCCCCGATTCTACTACTACAAGAGTGCCTTTCAGGTCCATAATGAGCTGGTGGGTGATTTTTTTATTCTTCATTTTTTTCCTCTAGAGCAGATTGGCGACCTAAGTTTTTACATGTTATGAACAAGTAAAAAAGTGTTTTGGTCTCCAATCCTCGCAAAACTCATATTTACAAGAAAATGTTTTGGGCAAATTTGAAAATAAAGAAATTCTGAGAAATTCAATCCACGCTTTACGCTGCACAACTAAATAAAATGACTGTTTTGAGTATTTTAATATTTCAATATCTTTCATAACATTATAATCCCCCACCTCGTTATAACGTTTTTTTCCGGAAAGTAATGGACACGTAAAAATAGCATAAGCAATTAGACAACTCAATTGATAAAAAAGGTATTAAAAACAACATGTTTCAAAAATCGTTAGAGCTGATTAAAATCATCCGTGGGTATTCGCGTTAGCATCGCATTCGAAAAAATTAATTTTTTAATAATTTTGTGTTTTTAATTTCGGATGATTGTGTTTTTAAATGAGAAAGATTAAAATTCAGGTAAATGTTTGGACGCATTTCGTGCCGATCCTGCTCCTCACCGTGTATTACATCATCCCGGAATTACAGTCGGATGCACCGAGGTCGTTCAATAAAGGATAATTTCATCAAATTTTAAAATGTTTCAAGTAAAATTTAATGATGCAGGTGCAAAACATTAATAATTGCGTTATCTCTCATTTTATCCATTTGGCCGCGATCGGACAAGCAAAAATAAAGAAGCACGAACGAAAAATCGATGCTCATGACCTGCCCGTCGCTGAAAATTATGGCCATGTAGCAGAGATCCTTACAAAGAGAAACAAGATTAAGTGTATCGAGATCTATTTTTAAAATACCTTTCAGATTCCCGGCTCTGTTGCTCCATTTCGGGACGGTGTGCCTGATGACGGGGAGCACGATCGCCCATTTATTAGTGAGTCCCAACTGAGGAGTCCATTGAATTAAATTAAAGCCGAAAAAGATGATATATATCAGAAACGTATTTTTGATCACGCCTCTTCAACTAGTCCGGATTTGATTTGAGAAAATTTTAAATGAGCGGAGTTCCTTTAAATAATAATAGTTTGACTATGTTGTTTATGACGTGAGGATTAAAATCTGCGCTAGCTAGTCTACATGACGTGATGCAACATGATTTTTATTTGCAAGGTTTGGGTCCGATGCTAATTGGCTGGATTTTTATGGACTTGGTATCAGTATATCGAAATTTATTGTCGATACTTCCTCTTGTCGAAATGTCATTTTTCGGAAGGCTTGTTTTGCCGAAACTTCATTTGTTGGAATACAGGGTGTCCCGATAAAAAGGTCACGCTGGCATTTTCTGATTTCGCATCCGATCGACTTGTAGTTTTGAACATAGCTGCGGAAGAAAATTTAAAATTTTCACAGAAAATTTCAGCCCTCTAGCTACAGTATTTTTTGAGTTATTGCAAAAATACCGTTTTTCAAACACTTTTGTTTTACTTTTTCTGCTCTTTTTGGACTTTGAATCAATTAACATAAAGTTCCGGCTCTACAGGGTGTCCCAAAAAAAACCCCCCCTCGGCATTTGGCCGTCTTCTATCCCATCGGGACCAAATTTTTACCAGAGCTGGGGACCCATAAAAACTATGTGCAGCCGAATTTTCTAAGCAAAATACTATAAAACAAAAAAGTTATCGCTAAAAAACTGATTTTTGGGAAACGCTAGCACCGATTTTTCGCGATGTTTTGGCAATTAGCATGCCGATTTTGAGTAATTTTCCCAAAAATCGTCATTTTCGGGTCCGTTTCTGTTCGTTTTGATAATAAAAATTGGTGAAAAGTCCCGATTTTGACGTAAATTTCGTAAATCAAAAAATTTCTCCGAGTGGTAAAAGGTGCCCTCTTCATTTTTGCTAAACATTTCGATGCCCTAATCCATCAAAATCCTAGTGAAATCGGCAAAATAAACCTCAATTTCGATATAACTTTTTTGTCTTACAATATTTTGCGTCGAAAGTTTGGCTGCACATAGTTTTTATGGGTCCCCATCACTGGTAAAAATTTGGCCCCGATCCGATAGAAGACGGCCAAATGCCGAGGGGGGGTTTTTTTTTGGGACACCCTGTAGATCCCTCATTGTTT